AATTAGCTCTGTTACGATATTAAGTCACCAATGTATATATATATAATCAGAATAACTTTAAAGAAGATTCACTTTAATGAAGACCAAAATAAAATAATTTTTTAACGTCTTCATACTAACTTAAGTATTAATAATCTGAAAAAAAACTCATTTATATATTCTGAATTATGTATGTACAAAACATGGCACCTAGCATTGAAAATCTGTACCTAATTACAATTTTTTGTAAATGTACATAGAAAACCACAAAAGAACTGTTTTCTGTATGTACCATTACCATTAGTGCATAAAAATAAATTCAATTAGTCTAAAAATATGTGCTAATCTATCAATTTTATTATAAAAAAACATAAAAAATACAACTGTTAACATTTTTTCCCATACCTTATCGATATCGTTTTTTTTTCTTATCAATTTTTCTACACCAGGTAATATTTAATTTCTTCATAAGACTATCCCTGCTTTTTTATATTAGTCGTATAAAAATATACTATATTAAGAACATATTGTAGAACAAACTGTATTCAAAGTAGTTTCTCAAATATTCATAAACGTGTTTTATATCAGTGGACTTAAAAAATATATATTTAATTTTATTAATTTATCATTACTTTTACATACAGAGAATTGTGACATACAGGATGAAATCTTTAGCTTTTTTTATTCTGTTACACCAAAGAAGTGTAACTTCTTACGTACATAAGTACACACACACGTTTTTTATGTCAAAACATTTTTTCAAGGACGGCCCTTACAGCAGTTAAAAAAAATGCAAGAAAAAAGTGTCCTAAACCGCATATTATTTTTACTAAATTTTACTCTATCAACTTCTGTGAGAGCAGTTGGAAAAAAATGAGATTATATTAGATAATTATTAGATTATTATTAGCTATGAAGCTATGTTACTATTTGAAATTAACTTAATGATTTTCTTCCACTATCATAAGCTCTATATTATAATTGTGTGTTGTATAAACTACAACTTGAAATTAAAAAAGAATTGCAATTTCAATTTTTATTCATCTATAATAAAACCCTGCCTTTAGGTATCTACTGCCGACCAGCCTACTTCTCGTCCAACACTCCTCACTACACATTCGTTTTCATAATAGGCAAAAAGGGGTCACTTCCATTGTATTTTTTTGCATTGGTACGTACGTATTACGTACGTAATACGTGATTCCCAATCTCAATCTCTACACAAATTGGGTTATCACACTAAACTAACTCCAATAACTTAATACCTTAAAACATTTACCCTGCCAAGAATATATGAATTAATTCGGCATGCTATTTAATATTCTAAATTAAACTACTTATTACTACATACTGTGAAGTCGGGATACATCGATAAAAGAGTATTATTTGTACTATGTTGGTATTTCATTGTATTTTTTTTAATTTATCATACGTCAGAATGTTTCTAACGTGGATTCATATATCTATATTTTTAGCATTATAAAATATTAGCAGAACCCGCGGCTTCGTTCGCGCTAAAACTACGAAAAATCTCTAAAAAGGTAGTTGCATACAAACTTTCATCCCCTATTTTAGCCCCTTATAGAATGAATTTTGAAAAAATCTAAAACACGTATATTTTTTTTAATTTTATTGTAAAACATTAATACCAAGTTTTAAGTAATTCTGATCATAAATGTTTTGATTGTATTATAAAGTGTTTTCCCGTGGGTTTTAGATAATTTTCCGCGATAAAAAGGTAGCCTATGTCACTCTTCAGCCCTCCAACTATCTCTTAATAAAAAATCACGCAACTCCGTCACTCCGTTTCGACGTGAAAAAAGGACAAACAAACATACAACAATTACACTCACATTTATAATATGAGTATGCATATGTATAAGGATACACAAAAAAAAAACATACTAAAAACACATTTTTTTATTTTGTGTCAGTACCTAAACAGGCATAACGTTCCTAAATGATTTTATATTAAGGTTTATATATTTTTTCAATATGTTTCTATTGCAAAGCTCATCTACAGTGCTTACAGTTTTAATTAAGTACTATGAAGAGGTGTAAGATAATTTCCATTTCATAAGTAACAAGTAGTTTATATAAATACCGCCAATTTAATCATGCGCTTAACGAACGAGATTATTGACTGCGGCAAAATATATTCCACGTACTATTTGCCTTTGTAATTAAAACATTAACCTTACAATCCAATATCTCGTCATTTAATTTTTTTGTTTGTTAAGGTTAATGATTTAACATCTATACATATAATAAAATTGTAACTAAGGCGAATCTGTACATTAAATATTTTTTGGAAAATCTTATTGAAATAAACATTATTATCGATATAGAAATCGAATCTATAGTTTTTAGAATTTTTGTCTGTCTGTTTTTCTGTTACCGCATCACAGAATAACCACTGGAGGGACTTTGATGAAATTTGGTATGGTGCTAGCTGGTTATCCGGGTCAACATATAGGACTTTTTACCGCGGGAAAATATCTCAGTTCTGAGAAAAAATACAAAAACTGCAATGTAAGAGTATACTAATATGTTAAACCTAAGAATTTAGTTTTTGGTCATCTGAACGCGCGCGGAGCCGCGGGCAATGCTAGTTTATTATAAATTTGTTTAAAGTTTAAAACTATGTCAATCTAATTTCTGCTTAGAAAGTATTATTAAGGCTATTATGACTTAAATAATTAAGACCAAGTGCAGTTTGATTACTTTATATTATTTTAACAACTTAAGCAAGGCCAACCCTGCTTTTAATGTATTTCTATACATAATATGCAGTATAAAACAAAGCAAAAAAATTAAATATGCAAAAAATTGTTTGCGTGTAATAACGGATTTAAGCAACGAAGCAAAATTTAACATTTTAAAAATACCAACGCCTACAAATCACGCTATAGCTGTAGCTAGCACGTAGATATATATCGATCTAGGCTTTTATCTCGGCTCATCCGACTTTGGTTTGGTGCGACACTTGACGCCCATCAAAAGGGCCAACTCAGGTCAGCATAAGATGAAGGTGATGTGCTATCTTGATCGAAGTCTCGGTTTCACTAAATTCCTTTCTCTTTCAATTCCACTCTCAAGCACTAAAGTGAGAAGCTACTTTAAATTTCTATAGTGTATAATGTAAGGCCGAGACAAAATTTAACCTTCAAGAGCGTTAAAAAATTTGTCAGTATTACTTTTTTTCTTAAATATTCAGTAGGTTTTATTTTATGTTGAATAAATTTCACATTTTACATATCGACGGGTGAAAGGCTATTTGGCTTAAGCGATATTTTCTTAACTTTACAGGAGAACCAATTTAATGATTTTTTTTTTCTAAAAATATAGTGATTATGTTTTTTTTTTAATATATTATCATATCTCCTTATAATCTTTTTTATAGAGTTGCCTAACGTAACATTACAGTAAAAAATATTTTTTGCACACCTATTGGATAATATGCATATATTTTTTTCATAATAACGTACACTTATTGTCCAATTAGAATAAGAAAAGTCTATTTATGATTCGTCCAGCACTAACTTAACTTGAAATTAATTCTCAGAATATAATACTTTGTTACTATAATGTCATTGAAATAACATTAAATTTTGTCAGCTCAATACAATTCCATCGTAATATCCCTTGCGACACTACATATGGGAACGCTATATAATTTTTGAATCCTAAAACTTCATCTTTAAAGGTTGCTAGTATACTTCAGACTAACAATAAAATATAAAGGCTTTTCTTTAATATAACAAATTAATATTTAAAACAGTAGATAACTTACTCAGAATTAATAAAAGAAACACCAATCGAACATGAAACATTAAGCTTATTTAACTTTACTTTAAGTTTGATGAACTAAATTTTATTATGTGATTAATACTTATTAATTTTGTATATATCTAGGATAAATATATTTCGATGATTTTACGAGGAGAAATATGTGGAGCATCTTCGCAAAGTAATATTAAAATACATGCATATAATATTTATGCAGCAATTATAAATATAAACAAAATTAGAAAAAGAACAAACCTTCAACCATTGATAAATTTTAGATTTATGTTAAAATTTAAACATACTCATAACTCCTTTCCATGCGCCCATTTGGAACTTTTCTCAATTATTCGCTTATTTATTTTTTATTTTTAGTACTTCTGTGAAATGATATTGTTAAAAACATTACACGCCTAAAATAAATTAAAACTATTTATTTCCTGTATTACATACATTACTTATACACATCTAAGAGAAAGTAAATCTTTCTTACTTATTTTTTGTAATTATATTTTTACTATAAACTGTAAGTAAGCCTTTGAAATCAATTGCAGCAAATTATTTAAGAAGGTTCATTGAAACTAAAATAGTGTGTTAAATAGCTTTAAATATTACATTAAAGTTATAGCATTTTAATGGAATAATCACAATAAAATAAATAATTACTTGATATTTTATACTAAAAATAGTATAGAGGAAATGGGTAGGTTATTTTTTTCTATTAACGGTTCTGACTCAGTGCACTAGTCTCCTTTTACTTAAATTATTTTCTTCCATCTCTTTTGGAACAGGATTATTATTTATTTTAATGATTATACTATAGCTTATATTTGCTTTATCCTTATATCATTGATGGATCATTAAAGTGACAAAAATTTAATTGAAAACGAGTAATTATACGAGAAAGCTCTTAAATTATTTACTTGAATATATAGTGTTTAGTTTTATCCCGCAAATAATATTATAATAGTTATTAGCCAGAATGAATTTTAAAAGATTGCAATAAAATATATGTACGTCATATTATATTTATATTAATTAAACATTTATATTAATTCATAAAAAAACTGTTGAAGCAGTTATGAAAAGAATTTAAAGTTAAGAAGTTTCAAAGATCAAGTTTTTAATTTACTTTAAGGAGGTTAGTTCAAATTAAATATAATAGTATAAGCTTTCAGTACTTTAAATTCATTTGTTTTAATTACAAAAACATTACACAATATTTAGACTGATGAATGGTGAATAACAAAGGTATATATACTGTTTAGGCTTGCCCCGTAATTGTAATGATTAAGCTTATAGCCATATTAAATCCGTTCGTATGACATAATTGTTATTTATAAGAAGGATTTGAAAATATCTTCTATCAAAATTAACATTCATCAAAACCATGAATAATATTAATGAAAAAAAAATGAGAGTACTATATATTTACGAATATTACAGCACCGGTGTAGGCGGCTGCTACAATTGCTACGACTTGCTACGACAGCTACGAAAAGTTTATTATTTAGCATTCTCCGGGTTTCCGCTGCCAATTCATTTTATTGTTCAATATTATCTATTTTTGACTAAGACTGATATCCTAAATGAAGTTATGTAATGAACACTAGACTTTTCTTATCATATTTCTAGCTTTTACGTAACCAGACAAAATAAGTCACCTTGGCTTATCTTGACCCAAAAACATTTTTATCCTTTATTGCTTTTGTATGGTTGTTAATGTAACATTAAATATTACGTAAAAACAAACAAAAAGAACCAACGTTCTGGATAAACAACGCCTAATATCTCTAATGTCTTTATTCCTATAAATTGTTTTTATATAGTGGTATTTAAGAAATAGTTTATCATATCATATTTACATTTTATTTGAAGCGTTTGAGGTGTAAATCAAGTTGTACTCGTAAATGACATCTTACCTAAACCATAGGTTAAGTAGATAAATATACATACAACGGATATCATTAACCAATGATGCTATAATTATGAAAAGAATGCATATCTTAAATCAAAGTACTAGTTTTAGAAGCAAAATTGAAGGAGACAGTGGCAACGGCGACGGCGGCGCAGCAGTGCGACAGCCAGCGCGGCGTCCTTGCCACGGTAATACGCGCGAGTCACGCGAGCAGGGTCGATAGCGGCCACCGGCCAGCCTCCGCGTCAATTATTCAGCACGCGACGCCACCACCGCCACCGTCACCACCGCCCGGACAAAGGACGCGCACTGCGACACCTACCGGCCCACCGCTGGCCCGCCGCTCCGTCTCAGAAAAGCCAGAAGCGAGGAAAGCCAAAACGAAGCACACTTATCTATCACTCCAAACCTTATCCTTTCGGGCGGTGAAGACTCGCGAGAGCGCGCGATGGTCGCGCGTTACGTAAAGGGCGCGACTTAACGCGTGTTGGCGCGTGTTGGCGCGTGTTGGCGCGTGTGGGCGCGTGTGACGCGCTCGCGGGCGCTCGGGGCAGGTTCGCGCGCGGAGTGCCGCCGCACGGTTATGCAACGCGCCGCCACCGTCGCCCGGACTGGAAAATCGAACGCGTGCGCGCGCAACCGCATCGATACCCGCCCGTAGAGCTACGAAGACGAGGACGCGCCGTAGGTAGGCGACCTCGCTCGCCGCGCTTCTGCGAATTCGTAGCCGTGATCGTTACACACCGCCGTCTCTGTCGAGCTGTGCGCTAGCTCTGTCTCCCTCTGTCTGCAGAAACGATAGTTTCAGGAACGATACTAAAAGTTCCTAGGTGCATGGCGCCCCGCCCGACGGCGCCTGCCGCACCGCAACGCCCGGCCTCGCATGCCGACCACTACCCGCAATTGACATTACGTCGTAGACATTGAAGGTTCGACGAAAGCACATCTCAGCTTGAAATAAGAAAAGCCCATACACTGAAGGTTACTGTTCAGCACAGAAACTTTTTATCTCAGAAAGGCCTTTATGCAAATCAAGGCCTACCTCGACGTCTCAAGACTTTCATGTGATACCTCAGACTATGCTATATAACTTAATTTTTAATGTATTATATTAAATAGAAGTTAAAATTTATTCAAGACGATAATCATATTGGAAAAAAAGGTTATTAAAAATGTTATTTACTCGTATTTGACGTCATTATTTACAAATTAAAAATGTAAAATTTTATGCAAATTATTATTTTAAACCAAATTTAAAATCCATCTTACAGCATATTAGGTTGTACCTCGACTGGACAATAATAATAAACTTAACATGTGATGACCTAATTGTATTAGTCAAATCTCACGAACAAGATACTCGGGAAATACCTAATTATGAGGAGTGAACACTTTAAAACAATGACTTACTTCTCAGTGAATCTCGCCTTTATTATGCATTATCTCATCAGGAAACAGACTTTATGACGAAACGATCTTAATAACTTAAGGCTATTACACACACTCCTGTAAACAATACTTTTTATAAAAACTTAAAAAAAACCGACTTCCAAGCACTAAAATGAAAAAAATAAGTAAACGGGGGTTTTACATTTAGAATAGATACCTAATCAGATATTATCGAAGTCGGTGCCAGCCGATGCAAAGCAAATCTAATATATTTCGATACGTAAAATACATATTTAGCTATTAGATATTCATATCTTAAAATATTTTCAGCTGGCATCGACTTCGAAAATATCTGATTAGTTATCTATTCTAAATGAAAACCCCCGTTTAGTTATTTTTTTTCATTTTAGTGCCTGGAAGTCGGTTTTTTTTTTAGTTTTTATTTTTCCATTTTTAGTGTAGACATAATATGCAGGTAATTTGTAAGAAGCGAGTTTTTTAATAACGTATTCGATTAAACAATTTATTTAAGAAATATATTTATTATTGATTTTTAAAAAAACCGCTCGACCGATTTCGATAAAATTTATATGGGACCACCTGGGAAGTATACCCTTTGAAACAAAAAAAATATTTCCAAATCGGTTCAGGCGTCTTCGAGTAATCGGTGAACATACATAAAAAAAAGAAAAAAAAAAGTTTCCGAGGAATTGATAACCTCCTCCTATTTGGAAGTCGGTTAAAAAGATTTAAAAAATTATGCCGGAGGTAATAGTAGTTTATTTTTAAAGAAACATTTGTATTATTTATACAAATATTTAATTTAATTTGGTAAAAAAAAAGACATTTTGAGATCGTCTGTCTGTAGCAAACTCTGTCTCGAGACCATAATATAAAACAAACAATAGTCTATGCTTTATATAACTCTATTTATTTCCATACTACATGTACATGTTTAAGTTTATGTTTTACTTGTTTTACGAGATATAATAGGAAAAAACGAAAACCTAATAAAGACGTCACATTTACAATTTTAGTAATGACAAATGTGGAACATTAAAAATGTTAATGTCCCATAAAACCTTTTTCTTTAAATCATCTTCATATAGCTTCCTTTATGTTTCCTTTGAACAAAACATAATTTAAAATTTATTTATTAGTTATATATTATGTGTGAGCCCTAACACAATGTGTAATTGGTATAATGTATTAATCTGTAGAATGAAATTGCCTGTACTTTTTAGGATTCCTACCTCAAAAGGAACCATTATATGATCACTTCGTTTCCTTCCGTCTGTCTGTCTGTATGTCAAGACCTTTTTTTTCAGGAACGCGCGGGGGTATCAAGTTGAAATTAATTTAAATCCTTTGAAGCTGTGAAAAAATCAAACTTCTAAGTCAACGCAAAATGGAATCCAACCTATAGCACAAGTAAAAAGAAAATCCGAAAACCATAAATTTTAGTTAGGAACGTCACAAAATTATAAAGTTATTTTAATGAACTTATAGTTTCGGAATCCGGATACAAGATACTATAGAGTGCCTACCTGATGAACGCTTTCTAAGCCCTCTGTCAAATTTTGACATTAATCTTATATCAATAAAAATGAAATGATATTCGTTGATCAATAAATTTAATTTTTATTTTAAAAAATTATAATAGTCCGCATAAAGTCTTTATGAGGATAATATGGAAAAGTTATTAGTTAAATTAGAAAAACATACAAACTACAAGTGTACTTATACAAGTAATATTTTATTAACAGGATGTTTATATGAACTAAAACATAAGAATTGTTATTGCTTAGACAGGACAATGTCTGTCGGGTCGATAGTATAATATTAAATATCATCTACTAAGTTCTTAGTTCGATCTACATAGCTATCCGAATAAATGGATTATTTATACCTTGACATCTAATTAGAAGCAGAAAAGCAGTGGTAGCCCAGTGGTAACGCGCTCGCTTGGGATACCATATAAAACGGGTCCAAATTTCGGATCGCGCACCTCTGATCTACTCATGAACACACGCTCATTATTTTCAAAATCATTACCGCTTATCTACTGTAAAGGAAAACATTGTGAGGAAAGAACAGGATACCGTCCCGTATGTGGAACGATGGCAACACTTTTCGCGGGTGATTCACCATAGTCACTCCTGCGAAGTAGCGGCACCTGCAGGTGGTGTATGTGAAGAATCGTACCTAGTATCTACCTACACGCTCGCAGATTCAGAAGTTATAGTTATTATTTTATACAAGTACCTACTCGCATCATATTTATATTGTGGTAATCGCCGTAATCAATCGCCTCACTACTATATAATAAAACTAGCAGTGCTCGCGTTCATATGACCAAAAACCAAATTCTTAGGTTTTACATATTAGTTTTCTCTTACATTGCAGTCTTTGTATTTTTTCTCAAAAATGAGAGATTTTCCCGCGGTAAAAAGTACCCTATATGTTGACCCGGATAACCAGTTATCATCATACCAAATTTCATCAAAATCTGTTTAGTGGTTTTCTCGTGATGCGGTAACAAACAGACAGACTGACAAAAATTATAAAAACTATAGATTCGGACTCTGTATCGATAATAATGTCTGTTTCAATAAGATTTTCCAAAAAATATTTAATGTACAGATTCGGCTTAGTTACAATTTTATTATATGTACAGATATCAATTAAAACAAACTAGAAACTTATAAGAAATGCTTATATCATCATTTCGTTGGCAATTTATATATTTATTAATATAAAATGTAAATCGATATATATTTATTAAAATGTAAATCTCTTTGTTAGCTTTTAACTTTTAGTAGTTAATTATTAGGTTAGGTTACTACTTACTGAAAATTATTCAAAAAAGTCTGAAATAAAAATAAACACAGTTACATAACTTATTACTAATATTCTGACTGTCATATATAAAATTATAGCTTAATCACGAGATGAATATTGATGATTTAACGTAGAGCATCATCGTGGAATATTAAGCGAAAAGAAACAATGGCTAATCTTTTATAAAGCACTATTAGTAAATAAAAGAACGAAATTCAAAAGAGTCCATTGCTTCCAGCCGCTGTTTCATTACCTACTGCTTTAGAATAAACATTAATAAATTTAAAAAGTATCAATTTGAGCCAGACATACAATAGTTTGGCAAGTGACAAACATGATAGCATTCAAAGTATATTAAGTAATACTCTAATAAAGTAAATATTTTGTATCTTGATGTAAATATAAATAGACCATAAAAATTCGGGGGAAATTATAAAACATCGACACTGGAGTTTTATTACATCGTCTAAACCGATAAGAGCAATAATTGGTTCCTTGAAAAAGAAACATCACGCAATGATATGGGATCTACATGCTATATATATGTACTACACATTGATAAGAATTTTCCATACATTGTGGAAATTTAAACAACTAGGGTTCTATATTTTTCTTATTTAATATGAGTAAGGCATTTAATCTGTACTTTTTTAAAAGTCTAATTTTATATATAAGTTAGTTAAAAAACATATTTCAGTCACTATGCCACATTATGTATAAGTTTTGTAGTAGGGAAACGGACAATGTACAAACTGCAAATATAAAAACCTTTACACGCCCATTATAAATTTTGTCGTAAATCACGTAATTTATCCTAGCAGCGCCATCTTGTTAGTAAAATAGTAAATAGTAACATAAATAATATGTATTATATTTCACACAACATTCTAAGAAATGGGGAAGATTTTGTCTTTTTCTCTCGCCAGATGTCGCGATCACTATGGCCCTCAGTATATTGTAAAGCTCTATATCTTAAATGGAATTTTGAAAAATGCTAAAACACGTAATTATTTATTTGTATTGAAGAGCAATAACACCAAGTTTCAAGTAATTCTGATCATAAATAATCCTTTGCCTATATAAATTCTATTACCAACTTTTACCCCTATATATATATATATATATATATATATATATATATATATATATATATATATATATGTATATATATATTGCACAGGTAAGATGCTAACACAATAGAAGCACAAAAATAAGTATAAAAAAGATATCATAATAAATTGCTTAACCTCAGACTGAATATAAATAGATCATATGTGTAGCGCCCTCCTTTCGAGAAATTTTGTCCATATCGAATCATTTTGTTTTAAAGATAAGTGAAAACTAAAATGTAATAAATATTGCAAAATTCATCGCGAATTTAATTGATCAAACTCCAGTAACTTTAACATTTTTCAACTGTGATTTGTGAATATTCTCAACACACCACTGCCCGATTGCTGATTTTTCAATAATCAATAAAATTATGCTAATTTGATTTACGAGCGCATTATTTCGTGTTCTTTTAGTAAGAGATTTTTTTAAACCATGAATATACATACTTACCTAATAAGGATCAATTTTTTATTTCCTTTATTTTACATTATTTCACACAGACTTCAATAACAAATCGGTACATATGTATAATGCCATCTATTGACATTTATTTGAACTAATTCTTCTTTGTTCATATTGAGACCCCGTGATGATAGCACAGCTTATCACATGCTAGTACACAAGGCTATTGTTCAAGCTAGTTTTGTTTACTTCAATAAATATGTCGTTGATTCACAAACTGTTTAACTATATCATTTTATAAATATGTATAAACTAAAATATGTACCTAACAAAAAGTGATCATATCAGTTTTTAACCGAGATAAAAAAATCATAAAAATAAAAAGTCATACCCCATTTCTTAATCGCTGATATTTCAATAATCAGTAAAATATACAAAGATTTACGGGTGCATTATTCCGTTTTCATTCATCTTATTTAAAGATATTTTACTTAAATTGTGATATTGTGATTTTTTTTTTATGGACCAATTGAAAAAAAGGTTAGCACTAGGTAAAGTCAGGGAAGCTGTTAGCTTGAAGAGTAATGAGTACATAAATTTATTTATTAACATATAGATGTTAAGTGAAATTTACCATAATACATTATCAAAAACCGCAACCAAATCCGTTAAGCCGTTTCTGAGATTAACGCACACAAACGAACAGACAAACAAACAAACAAAATATGTTCTATTATGCAGACAGCGATCAGTTACACTTTTATTATATGTATAGATGTCAAATATTTGCTTAAATCTAAGAAAGTTCTAAATTACAATAAATTAATTTTAGTCTTTTTGTGTTTTTATAAGTGTATATTGTAAATATTCAAAATTTATATAAAACACGTTACAACATTAATTAAAAAACTTATTGCCACCACTGTTTTTAGATATAACATTTCACATTTAAATTTTCTAAGTACTACCCTAACCAAGCCTCCATCCCATTTACTTTTAGATCGATTCTCACCTTTTTGAAATTGCTAAGTAATAACTTTTGATTACTTTATATAGGAAATTTACCAAGCAGCCTTAGCGGAAAGCAATGAGCACATTCATTTTGATTTCTTGTCTTTTACAATGTATATAATACTGGCCAAACCCAATTTCAGGCCAAACCGACTCATACTAAGGGTGCCAGATATACGAGTAAAGCCTAAATACTTTAGACTTAACTAGTTTGGCCTAGGCCAAACTAATCGAATCATTGCAAGTAACAAAATAAACACGTTAGAACCCTAAATAGCACAAAAATAATTTTAAAATTTAATTTGACTAAAAATTATTTTTATTCTCTCATTTATTTTCGTATTAGAATACGTAGTGTAATAAAATAACGTATAATAAGAGAATATTTTCGAAAGATATTAATTTTAAAAGTTAAGGAAACATATACATAGACAAATATTTCTTTTCATATTTTCTCATTTTCTGCAGGAACAAAAGGTACTGGCAGAAAGTAGATAGGTACAAGTGACAATATTCAGACGCTGCAGGGTGACTTTAGAGCTAAGCTTTGTCATATGTAAGCTAAGACAAATATTACATTTGTTTTGATGGTATATCACACACACAAAAATTCAGTACAAAAATTTACCTCCAGAGTAAAACTAAAATATGATGTGGTGTGAGTGTAATCTTATTCACATAAATAAATCTGTACAAACATTTTGATCTTAATAATCATCATCAGATCTTAAAAATCATCAGTTAAAAAGCTGAGTTTAATTATATCTCAGATCTAATATACCAAATATAATAATAATATAATATGATACCAATTGAACCCCACCCACAAATCATTTACTTGTGTCATTAAATACTTACATAAGCTCTTATAATTATATAATAATAAGAAAATTACATAAAATTTTAATAATTCATTGTAAAAGGACCATAATACTTTTAGTTAGATCTTCTATGGATTTATTTTCTTTGCCATTTTCAATAACAAGATCCCATTCATTATAATCATCCAAATCACATTCTGAGGCAGTATCATCAACACCACTCTTGAACTGAAATCCTCTCTCTTTTCGTGTCTCTTCATCAGCCACCAATCTAATAGTTTTTATTAGATCACCATATGTTTCCTTGAACCATTGCACATCTGTCTTCCGTCTTATGTCACTAACAATCCATATTGGTCTGTCTGCTGCTAAAATTCAAATTATAATAATTATATTAGAAATATAAAATATAAGATTATCATTATACAAGCACATATACACAATCAACACATTTATGTGTAAACAAAAATGAAAAGTTTAGGAACTGAATAAACACCATGCAAAAGTTAACAAAGATTAAAACCTTGACAATGGGAATACTATCATGTGGAATCTTGAATCACTGTTGTATATTTGGTTTTGGGTCTCAGTCATTGGTAAAGACAAGGTTGCACCTGACATTAGTGTGTCAACAATTATGCATCACATAGTTTTAGGAGCGGGTGATGCGGGATGGCGATATAAAAGCTGCCGATTGCTGAACAACCTGGAGAATGACTTAACTCACGTTAAGAAGCGCATGATATATTGTCGGGCTACCACTCTGTGTGTAGTAATAAACCACTTTAGTACAGTCCACTCTTTAATTTAGTCTCTATAGGGTAGTCAGTTTTCCCTTCACCAAGTGTACAGGGCACTGTCCCCATCATTCATCATATAAAGTCTAATTAGTTAAGCCTAATCAAACCATTACCATTGTCACATGCAGCTCTACAAAAACATCCATAATCATTTTCTCTCCTTTCTTCACTCCACCTTATCATATCTAAACGGTGCTGTTCTTTATATTCTGTATCACTTAACAGTTCATTTAAATTTAAATTCTTCTCATTTGCCCAATGACTCTTTATAGGTTGGGATATTTTTATAATTTCACATTGATCACCTAATCTAAAATAGAAATAAAAATATTAAAAAGTACATGCTATTAAAAAAAATTGTGTTACTATTCTTCCCTCTAGCCTTTTTCTTCAATAAATCTTTATAATTTACCTATAGTGTCAACAACTACTTAATAATTAGTAGTTGTAATCTATTAACATAAATACTTACCTACTAATGAGAACTAGTACATGATTATGGTAAATTGAGCTAAACTATTTAAAAGTATAAAAAAGTGAAAACGATAACAGCTGCAGAAATTTATTCTTTAAATAACTTATAAATAGTAGGTAAATAGTGTGTAAATATACAAGAAGCTTAGCTATATATACGAAATATATCATACATATAAAGGACTGCGTTCATATTTCAACACTTACATTAACTTTAGATGATCTGTCACAAAGTCTTTACCACATTTTCGTTTACCACTAAATAATAAAATTATTTTTGGTGCCATTGTCTTCTGAAAAAGTTTTATTTAAATTAGAAACTTAAAAGTATACACAGATTCTTTATTATTTACTTTCTCGAAATAGTTGTATAAATATGAGTGTTTGTTTAATTAGTTTTTCTTAGGTCTTATTTTAACTTATTTTAAATTGTTCAATTATTTTTCTTTTTTTTTTCTTTTTTCTTGAAATGATATTTACTATTTAATTATAATTTGTCAACTGTCATACCAAATGACATTTTGAAATCAATTTAGTAATTGAGTAAGTACGCAAAAATCCATTGCCATATATTTTATATTGTAATATATTATTTATACAACATAAAATAGTAAAATTATTCTTTTAGGTAATTTTAAATGTATTATTAGCTAGAAATTAATAAATAAAATGAAAATAAAGTTTATTATATGGCACTGCTATCTGTTAGTCGTTTTTAAACTAATTGAAAGATATTCATGTACTTGAAACATCTACTGCTAGATGGCACTACTACAAGCTTTAAGTTGTAAATAAATAATATTCAGATAGATGGCATAAAATTACCACAAAAAAATAAAGTAACCGTTAGTTAAATTACGAATAGGAAAATCACTATACTTTTTTTCTATTTTAGTTTAACTTTCTTACTTAAAGCATATAATTATTATTATGTTTAAAAGAAATACAATATAGGTTTATAGAAAGAATTTATCTTGTTTCAAACTAATTTTTTACACATTTACTAGAACACACACGGGACAGGTTTTAAAGTTACAACAATCCAATAAAAGAGATTTTGAAACAGTCATTTACATATTATTAAGACATCCCATAAAATTAATTATCTGTAATGAAAAGTTAAAAACTGCTTATTAGAACGATAAGCATAAAAAAGAATATAAATGAATAATACTATATTTGATTCGTTATGGGATGTATGATATCGCCCACGCTGCATTATTATATTTACCATAACACATAACTATAAATAAAATCGTGCCGACACGAAAAAAATGGCGTTATTTGAATGCCGGACAATAATTTAAATGTAGCAACAACCGCTTTTAGCTTACAACCTTAATTGACTTAAAAATGCTTATCAATACTCGATGTTTTTTTGAAACGTAAAAACAAAAAGTTTCCATACAAAATTCAACCATAACATGAAGAAATTCAATCCAATTTATAAATTCTCTCTTCAAACGTAATTCCTTTAGCCATACGGACGAAGTTCGAAGCACGATGCACGCTCACGACTTTCTGAACGACTCCGGACATGGCATTCCACGTTTCGTTGTAGATTAGAATGGGATGGATAGCGAGCCACCCGCCGAAAAAAACGAGACAAGCAACCACGGAACAGTCCACGTGGACTGCTTAATATCAACACAGGAGCACCGACCAATAGAAAACGGTACCACTAATGTATTTCTCACCTCCGCACTCACACCCGGGTCGCCTGCTGTTCTTGAATTATTTATACGATTCTCAACTTTCTGTCGCTCGCCTAGAGCTTTTAGTTTCGCGATCGTGTCTGCGCGGTCGTTTTCGAAATGACTTATGGTATCCTGCTGTTGTCATTTTCGTTCGTACGGCTTGTAAATAAGGCAGATTGTTGCTCGAGAAGTGCTATGCGGCTCTTGAATTTAAAACGATTCCCAAGAACACGGGCGCAAGTTAGTGAAGGTTGGAAGAGGCCGCGGTGCAAACTGCATCGTCTCGTCACAACGGCTTTCGCCCCCCGACCCCCCGGACCACCTCGCTGCGCTCTCCCGCTTTTATTGTAGTAAGTTCAGCGTATACCGTACGTGTGTGTATGGCTGTTGCGAGACAACTGTTGTGCTTAGGCACGTTGCTTTCATAGCGTAGCGAGGTGCATGCTGCGGCAGCACACTTTATTTTGATTCTGACGGAACATAACTTTTTGTTTACACAATGCCTAATTCATTAACATTATATTTAAGTATCTATAATTTATCTACACTTAACGTCAAAAAAAGTAGTAGTACCTACCTATCTATTATACCTACTTACGTGTAAAACTAAAAATATCATTAAACATAAATCGTAGCTGGCTGATGTTCCATTTTGTTAAAACCACAGAAATACTTGTTTCGAAAACATAAAAATATTATGAATATAATAACCGTTGTAATAACATAATCTCATTTGTATTTTATTACATTTGTTCAGAATAGAGAAAACAGGGGCTAAACGCGTATTCATTTTACAAAAACAATTTAACTTCTTTAAGAGGAAAAAATAACAAACGAGCGATAATAAAGTGGGGTCCTTTGAACGTCTACTTGCTCGTGATTATAGGTATTTTTGATTCAATGAAAGGGATCGTTGGGGTAGCGACGGAAATATTAGAGCGCCCCTCACGTGACGATATAGAGGGCCAGTCGTGACACAGCCACCTATTTGCTTATTAAACTTGTTAAACGACAACGGGTTTTAATTCATAAGACACGATAGTACCTACTGACGTGTTTCTCTCATCTAATTGACATAAATCCCTAAAGGGTTATTATAGTTATTAGGTAGGTAGGTAGGTAGGTAGGTATACCTAATTTTTAAGAAACAAATTATTATTAATATTAAATAATAACTAAATACAATTTTTATATTGATTATTATAATAAAATATTTAAAAATATGATTTTAATATACCTAATATATAGCTATCTGTTATAACCCTAAATTACCTGTACAGGTACCTACTGCTACTACCCCACTCCATCTCTCACTCAACTCATAAGTTAGTAGGTAGGTGTATTAAATAAATATTTAATAATATAAAATTTGTACTTATAAAATAATGTAAGATTTGTAATTTAAACATAAATATACATTTGCATGTTTAAGCATATTAAACAAGCGTGTGCGCAAGCAATCTTTATTATTTGGTTAAGCGATGCAAAAATACACCAAGGGCTGTTTTGTTTGAACACATGCGGCAAGCGAGCCCTGTGTAAATACACATATACGTATCCCTATTCAGAATATACCAACATAGTTTTAAAATACAAATTTAAAGTAAATCGAGTTGATGAACGAAAGCTTATGGAAATTTGCCCATGTGTATAATTTAAGATAGCCATTTACTAACGTAAATAAGTATATATTGCGATCATTGTAGTGACAAATTTAAACATAGGTTAATGTGATGGATACCTACTAAGCATTTCTAATTTCCATAGTCAGAGAGAACGTTTGCATAATATTATAGACTAGCATTAGATTTTACATATATCTCAGACATGAGATATTTTCTCGCGGTAAAAAGTATCCTATATGTTGAGCCGGATAACCAGCTCATCGTACCAAATTTCATCAAAATTTGTCCAGTGGTTTTCTCGTGATGCGGTAACAGACAGACAGACAAAAATTCTAAAAACTATAGATTCGGACACTATATCGATAATAATGTCTATTTCAATAACATTTTCCAAAAAATATTTAATGTACAGCGGGATTCGAACCCGCGACCGCTGACACAGCAAGTAGGGTCACTACAAACTGAGCCAAACGTGGTCGTCGTAGATAGGTGAAAATTGTAACTCAATATGTCATTTTTTTAATATAATTTGAAACGAAGTGAAACGTTGTTAATCACATCCATCTGAATTTGATCCGGGTGGGGATAAATGAGAAAAATCAGAACTGGCGTCCCTAAGGTCGGGGGATACAGCATGGCAGGGGTGCAAAACCTACGCAAACTAATGAACTTAATTTCTTATTTGAATCCGAGATTTGGGGGGCTTAACGTAATATACGAAGTTATGAAGCGGCAAAATAAAATTATGAAACTCGTGAATAGGTATACCTATTCCAATCTTTCTAAAGTATTTCTGCGCCTTTACCTGGCTTCTATTATCTATAAAAGTACCTATAATCAAATTTTAATACGTGTCAAGCTAACAATATTTAATAAAAATAAAGTACCTAATAATAAAATAAACAGCTTACATACTTAACAAATAATAAATTATGTAAATGCACTCACTATTTAAACCTATCTTGATATTTTTATTATTATTATCTAAATAATGTTCAAATCAAATCTACAAAACCATCGGTATTAGGTTTATTACATACGCAATAATCCCGCTGTGGAAAAGGTGTACTTAATAGGTACCTACATCTCGCGATAACATACAGGTACAGGGCTATCAATACGCTCTCATCCGTCATACAGAGGAGCGCGTGTCGGACACACCGCACCGCTCGCATTATTCAATGCAAACAAAAAGGGAATAAATGCTGGAATAAAATACTTTTAATTTCCCAGGGCGCCGCTAATCGGGCAGCGGCAATGGAGGGCGCCAAATCGCCCTTTTTATTTTACTGCATGAACGCAAATCCGGCGGGAAAACGGTGAGGACGGTCGGGGCGCGGGGGAGTGCGGTCACGCGCTTGGAATTAGCGCCGCCCGCCCCCGCCGCCCGCCGCCCGCCGCACTTGACCCGCGCGAGGTGTCACCGAGCACGTTACCTACCCGCAAAAAATAGGGGGTGAGCTCTACCGCGCTTCGACGCCCTCGCCGTTCGCTACTCAACCACAGGGAGCACGGATTTTGTTTTTAATTTATTACAATTGTTTCGATAATCTTAACGCGCACCACTTAACCTACATACTACACTGCATACCTACCTGCTACGATCTTACGATTTATATCAAATTACGCATAAAAATAACTTATTACTAAATATTTAACTGTTAACCTTCGCATAATCTCCGAACGTGTTTCCGGTAGGTTTGCGTTTACTATAATAAAGTCACTAATTGAACGCGTGTAGAGTCGCAGACCGCAAATGGTGATATTACAATTTCTGAACTTAAATAATGACTCATAAGATATGGATCGAATTAATCGTATCTTTTCGCAAACCTACTCGAACATAATAACAAATGTAATTAATAATGCGTAAATATTATGAAGATTAGCAAATATTACGACGATCGACTCAACATGGTACTTCAACTAGCCCTGCGATGTTCACATTGTGGCTCCACGTGTAGAGCGTTAACAAAAATACAACAGCTTGGGAGTTTTATTGCTAAAGTAAATCATCTCAGTTCAGGAACGCTGAACCGACATTACGTAGTTTTGCAGTAACTCAGACTTTGTTGAACTATTACTCACCTAGCATAAAGTGCACTGCATATGTCTCGAAAGCTTGAATTTGTTCTGCAAATTGTATTTTCTTGTTTTAAACAGTGACGGATATTTGTTCAAGGAAGACTAACATGAAAAATCAATCAATGTACCTACTTTGTATTGTTTTATATTAAGTATTATACATATTACATAGTAAGTATATATTCATATATATTTATGGTTTGTAAATATTTTTCAAATTCTTAGTACATAACAGGCTATAATAGCCTATGTTGGCTATTCATTGATTATATGCCATTGAATTTATTTCATAAAATATGCACCAGAAGATATTGCTTGTAAAGTTTACGACTTTTAAGGAGCATGAGAGTCCTCTATGCGTCATTAGGCATATGTATCATGAACGCTTTGTGAAGGACTAACTTTATAAATTGAACAAACAGCTCAATTGTTGGCCCGACGAACCGTCTCTCGCTCGTCGCTCGTCAACAACGAAGACAATAAGGCACAGGCGACAATTGCGCACAATTGACACAGTTGCAGGGCCATAGTGCATACTCGTCTCTTGTCTCTGGACACACAACCGTATGTAGAGCTAAATTGTAGCAGTCACTAGGACGGTAATCTATCAGAAATTATACGAACATAAGCAGGTATTAACCGATAAATTGTACAGTGCTTCAGTTTCATTTCAATTTGTTAATTTTATAGTTATAAATATTAAATATTTTCTATAAAATATATATTTCTAAGAGTATATTTCTTATAGATTCCTTGATCGCCAAGATTTTTAATAAGAGTAAGGTAACACCTGCTAGGATACTAAACGTAAGCGTAAACTTTATTGCGGTTCCAGCTTTGACAATTTATCACTAGATTGAAAAGAACTTTGGCCATAACGCTATAATATTAATAACAGTAGGTACATAACTGAAATATTTGACTGTTATGATCAGTATTTTTGTTTATTAGGTAGATTTATACGTACTGAAAAAAATTAACAATCATGAAACTTTCCTAAGAAAATTTATTATTGATTCTTAATAAATAGCAGGTAGGCTTTAAAACAAGAACGTAGTACCTAATTCATATTTGTAATTATTTCCTATTAGCTTCACCAATAAAATTATTATACCTACTCATATATCAAATTACTCATTTGATCCATGGCATCTTTGCGGTAAACAATGGGAAAGCGTTCCATGTGCTCTCCCAAGTTGCTAGACATTTAGGTGCTACATTGTACATTAAAAACTATACAATAACTTGCCTACGTCTAAAATTTTTATATAAAAAAATAGTACCTAATAATTATTATATTATTATATTATAAAAATAGTAATATTAATTATATTATTATATTATATTAATTCCCCTCGTACGGAAGGGAGGCCTGTGTCCAGCAGTGGGACATCAAGAAAGGGGCTGAAAAATGAAAATTGTAATGAATTAATTGGTAACAACTCATGTTACTTAGTCCTTAACTATTAAGTATTACTTAATCTATAGAATTTATTTCAAGTACCTACTATATAGGTATGTTGGATTATACAGTGTTATGTTATTACTTCTCAGTGGGTGCATGCTATTTAGCAGGTAGGTACCTAGGTCCCTACTAGCTTGTGTTACCAAAGTTACGTGTAATTACGTAAACTCTATTATAGGTGGTATACGACAATCTGAGGTCGTACCTTGTAATATAGGTTACATGTTATACATATTTGATAATAATTTGATAATACATAGGTAAATATGTAGATACCTAATAGCCTAGGGTGTTTAAAGATCAATTATTAGTATAATTGTAGTAGTTAACCACGACTTAAAATGCTTATTTATAGAGCTCTGCTTTGTTATAAATAAGTATGTACGTAATATTTATGTATTAAACATAAGCATTATATTTATAACATATTTTTAAAATGAACTTAAAACGGATATCTTAATTAACACATAACATCCTCAAATAATTTTAATCGAGCATTAATTTTGCCGCTTATTAAAATGTTTGAACGAGTTCGACACTCGAGTTTCGAAGTGCGAATGTAATTGAAAAACAAGTTTTACGATATGATGCTGCTATCTACGACATTACTTATAATATGTTATAATGACACACACCTATTAGTCGGGTTCACATTATAGAGCGCACTTGCGTCGTCGGGCGCACTCGTAAATTGATAAAGCGGAAAGAGACTAGCGCATTCGAGATGTGAACGTAGATATATATAATTCAGCAGAACTGCCAAGCGAAGTGGAACTTGCCAGTTGACACTGCTCTCGCCCCCCGAGAGATGTCGCTGGTTCGCGCGTTGTTCAGCCGCCAGTAAAAATACGTGCGGGTATTTCCTGTCACAAGACGTGCGGGGTCGGGAGCGGGGGTGCAATAAATAACTTAGTTTGTGGCGTGCGGAGGCGGACGCGCGGGGAGCGTTATTTGTAGGGATCGCGTGTGAATTATCCGTGGGTTCACGCGCGCTGTTTGTCCGCCGTCTTGTAGCCACTCTACACACTGCGCGCCGACCCTCGTTAATGAAATTTCATATCGCTCGCTCGCCACGTCTCGCTCCATTGTCGCCGCTCACTAGTCTAACTTGCTACGTTACCCTACTCCCTGCCTATTGAATTCACCGAATTGTTACACTTGACTGTTAGAACTGTGGAGAAACATTATTATGTTTGTTCGACTTGAATAGAAATTAGTCTTCAATTGTTGCTTATAGAACTGAGAGCGATAAGGTTGGTTATACCAGTATACAACATGGCTTAATACAACGTATCTACTTTATGATTTCACATTAAAGAACATCAATTTGGCTCTAAGCTTAATGGGCTTAAAGCCTATAAATATTAAATGCCTCACTATCTAATCTAGGAACGCATCATAACATTTCCGAATTTATCGATGTAGGTAGAGTAGGTAGGTCGTAAACATGACGGAGCTCAGACTGTGGGTACAATTATTATTACTATTAAACAAGATAGATATTATTATCGATATTGATATGAATTATGAAGTAACATAATGAATGGGTAAACATTTGAACAGGCGACAAGAAACAGAAACAATGAACTAGTGTGACGTAGTCGCGAGACAATGACGCGCTACAATTGCTCACAATTGACACAGTTGTACCCACCCACTGTTTACCGTACCATCGTATGGGCAACTTTAGCGGGTCTTTAAATAGAGATTATTATGTAGATTGTAGAAGTGTTTGGATAAATCAATGAAAAACACTAAAACCAAATGGTAGGTAACTACCTAAACTGTACAAAATATTGTATTTGATAACAGCAATTTGTTTATTTATTTATTTATTTATTTTTGTAAAAAGCACACTTACAACATACATATGAAACATTTCCAAATTAATTAATGTAATAATAATATACCTTATATGCATGTCAATTATAAGTGTACTTACATAGCATTTAAATATTCATGAATTAAAAGTACAAAATTTAAAAATAATAATAATTATTATAGATAAATGTCATAATACAAAAGAAATCGTTAATAAAACATAATAATAAGAAATAAAATTAGAATCATTATTAAAAAGAAAAAAAATTACAATAATTAAGATTAACAATCATCCATTTTATAATAATTAAATAACTTATTTCTAAAAATTGATGGAGAGTCATAAAATATGTCAATGCCAGGAATTGATTTAAGGATATCAATATATTTTTTTGATATAGATATTTTCTTTTGATATAGGTTATTTAGTAGATAATATAAATTCAATCATAAATTGTGTCTAAATTAGGTACATTCTAGGCAAGGCAACTCTCACACGTTTGTCCGCTTGTCCCACTTGAAGACTCACTCGCATACACGTATTATTCGCATGCGTTCGACCGCATGTGCTCCGTGTGCCGAGAGCCCTTTGCCATTCGCATGCACTCGTCCGCTTAATATGCGGGCTCGTATTGCGCCTTCTACGTCCACACCGCGACTCTATAATTCGAACACAATGTTCTCTACCTACTGGCTACTTTGACTATGAAGAATAAAAATTCTCGTTATGATAATCTAAATAAAATTGATTGAATGATTCGATTTTTTTTTATTTGCATAGGCTCCATACAAACGTTTTTCTTAATTAATTATTATACATAGGTATATTAATAGTAATTTATACTGCACTCATTGCCATTATCACAAATGTAAAGTAGCGAAACAAAAAAATTACACGTTAAGCAATTTAATAGATCAAGCATGAATAAAAATGTCGGACTGGAAAGGTAGCTTATTAATTACAAGTAGGTAGATCTTTTGAATAATATAAGAAACTAAGCACTTAAGTATTTCATTAGCTTAACATTCTGAAACAAATAAAAATCTTAATGTCACATTGCTCTCGTTTATCTGAATATGATTTAATCAGATATGGCATTCCTATGTCTGTGTCAAGGCCTATAGGTATATGTCGACAAAAAAATAATAAATAAAATCAATATATGAGTGTATCTACCTGTATATGTAAGTATTTAAAAAAAAAGAAAATTTAATAAAAAAGTAGTACATTCATAGGTACTGAGTCGGTACGTAATATCTACGTAACGTACTTAGGTCTTTTTCCTCGGAATAAGAAACCTACATAAAAATCTATGCCTGCCGCCTACATTAATGGCCAATTAAATATTAATGTATTTAATAAATAAGCCATAATTACATATATTTAGTTATATTTTAGAGCAGGATAATTTTTAAAACGTAATAGCTTTACAGGTACCTACATATGGAGTCGGTATGAACAGTAAATCGGTCTGTGCATATATCTATGAGCTAGTGTTGTATTAGTGTCGATAGTGATTGCGGTGGCCGCTACTTCCAATCATTGCAATTCAATTTGCGCGGATGTAGCGGTGCCGCGACCGAAGCGGTCGAGGCGACGCGCCGTGGCGAGGTGCTTTGTTTACACTACGCCGAACCTTGTCTCACCGCTTCACCGCGGTTCGATTAAGGACAAATCAATAAGGCAGTCGATAGCGAGCGAGTTTAATAGAGTGAGCGAGCCGAGTGGAGCGCCCTCATTACCCCCGCAATTAGCGCACGCCGCGCTCCCGTCGCCGACGCACCCCGCGCGAAAAACGAATAAAAAGAGCTGCCCTCAAAATGGCCGCCGCCCTCCCCCGGCCGCCCGCCGACCCCCGCGCCGCTTCGTGATTGCATCCCCGCAGCTCTTATAAATATGGCCGTATTCCTCCCGCCTTTACTGATTGCCCGTATACCCCCCGGCCTCCCCCCGCGACCGCGCCGCCGGCGTCTGAATAGATAAACGAGTCCACGTGGACTACCGCGCTTATAAAAATCACCTCTGCCAATTGGAACGATTCCGTATAGCATCCGGACCAATAGCGAGGCAGAAACGCGTGTAACTCCGCCCTTAATAAGCGATCCGAGCGTTAGGACCAATGAGAGACGCGAATTCAGTGGATTCCGCTCGACGACGACGGAGCAGTCCACGTGGACCGACTCACACACGTATGCGAGTATAATGCCTCGAGTGGAAATAGCTATGACGGCGAAATGTGCGACAGCGAAAAAATAAAATGCGGTCGGTCGGTGCGGCGGCGGATCGAGCGAGCGAGTGGGTGTAAACAGGGGATATTTTGGTGCGGCTCGTTCATTATTATTGAATGCGCGGCGCTAATGGCACGTCGCAGGTCGCGGGTCGCGGCTCACGACTCGCGCCGCTCTCGCACTTCCTGCTCCTCCGACGACGAGCACCATTCGTTTGACGGCATGCATTTACTACATTATTATATGGATATCTGTTATTAAAGGTGTTATCTTGAATAGGTTCTTAAGAAAATTGAGATCATTACACCGCTCGTAAAATACGTCATGTTTTTAATAACATAAATGGTACAAGACACTTATCGTACCTATAGGAAGAAAAATACTGAGGTAAAAACCTGTCTAAAAGGAAATAAAAGCGAGCGGTGGCGGTGGAACGCAAGCCAGATAGATAGCTATCGACGTAGGCGTATTGTGTCGACCGCCATCCGATAAAGTATGCTTGTCCGGTAGCCGCAATCGCTATTCAACACACAAGCGTCTTGTCTAAAAAATTAATGATACCTACCGCTACCGCTCAGCGACCTGCGTTCACTTTGCCTGCTCTTTGCCTTGCCTCGATATTGGTACCGTCTCTAAGTTGTGCTAAAAATTGCAAATTATTATGTTGGTACTACCTATATAAAGTTTAAACTCTCTTAGAACATTCTGTAGGTAATATTTAGAGTAGATACCTAATTTATGTGTCATTTTCCTACTGCAATAGATAGCTTGTTTAATATAACATGAATTTGGCTATTATAAATATTGACTTTTCCATCCCGTTGTAAATTATGAGTCATTAAATCTATTTAACGTTTACTATTAGTAGGTAGGAGTTGCAAATTTGTGCGTGGGGTAACGAATGTCACAATAAGACAAATCATACATCAATCTCCTAAGAGGCTTACCTACCTTGCTAGGTATGATTGATTTAATGAAAATGGACAATCGCCTAGTTAAGCTAAGCCAAGAGAAGAGAATCAAGTAAAATAGTTGGTTGGGCAGCTCTTAAACTATGATGACGCACGCCGCCCGAACAATGCCGCGGTCATTAAAATGGCATTCCTTCACGAACAATATTATACTCACTGTACAGTGGTAGTGTGCAGAACACTCGACTATAGTGTACACTTGGGACTAATATGCTTACACTAGCTGCCACCTGCCACATCCTTTAGTAATCTTTAATGTGTCGACTAAACAAAAATATTTCATTTGATATAACTTAGTCTTTTAATTTAAAACACACATTTATTTAAACAATGAATAAAAAATCTATCAATTTGTCTAAATATCCCACCTGAATGAATTCCACCGAGGTTTAAAATTTAAAAGCTCTATTACTTAATCGTTACTTTGCAATCAAATCATTCATTCGTATATCACGGAAGTCCAAATTGCTTTTATCGATAAATTATTATTAGGTATATTATTCACACTTAGGTACCTACCTACTTAGGTAGGGACATATTTCTCCCCTTCATGCCAACACTATTTTAATGTTGCTCGTTGGCACCTTGATAATGCTCACTCAGGTCGCGATTACAGATTCATAATATGTATAGGTAGGTATTAGCTAAGTATTTTTATAATACAACTAGCATTGCCCGCGGCTCTGTCCGCGTTCAGATGACCAAAAACCAAATACTTAGATTTTACATATTAGTAGGTATACTCTTACATTGCAGTTTTTGTATTTTTTCTCAGAAATGAGACATTTTACAGCGGTAAAAAGTATCCTATATGTTGACCCGGATAACCAGCTATCACCATACCAAATTTTATCAAAATCCCTCCAGTAGTTTTCTGTGATGCGGTAACAGACAGATAGACAGACAAAAATGTTTATTTCAATAAGATTTTCCAAAAAATATTTAATGTACTGATTCGGCTTAGTTAGAATTTTATTATAAGTATAGATTTAATTATTTGTAGATATACGGTAATGCACCTTATTAATTTTTAAGTGTAGGTACCTAATAAAAAATTAGCTTGTTGTTTTTTATTCTTTTAACATAGTTTTTGCGTGGGTAAAGTTTTGTCGATGTATTCTTAAGTTTTTTATCCATTAAGGTATATAAAAATAGTTAAATAAAGAGTTTATTAACAAATATCTAACCAAGTTGTATTGTTGCTTACAGTTTTTATAAAGCCTCTTAACTGGCCTACCAAATTCCATACTAATGAAGGTGAACATTGGGCGATAACAAGATCATAAGTTCAATATTACATAAAGTTCCTATCAGTAATCAGTGCGTGGATTATAACAAACTATTTTAACATATTATATTGATAGATCCATTTGTTATTTGCATACTATTATTGAAGATAAAAATAATTAGGTAGGTACCTACCTACCTATAAAACAGGTAGGTAGGTATATGTATAAAGTAACTTAGATACGACGGCTGTTTCTAAAAAAAAACACACATGTAGGTATGTACCTACCTATAGTAAAAGCACTTACACTTATTTTTCTAAATTTAAATATTTCAAATATATAGGTAAGTAGGTAGGTATATTTAGCAAATGTCAAATTGTAGGTAATGGTTGACATTTGCTAAACATAATATTTCAGACATTTAAATCAAATTAAGAATTTGGTACAAGTGACTCTAATTTTGTAGGTATACCGTATAAGATACTAAATTAATAGGTAACTTAAGTACCTAGACTCAGGTAAAAAATACCACACTTTTCAACATAATTTTTAGAAGCGTATCTAATTTACTTACAATTATTTTTCAATTATTGTACTTGTATCTACCTTTTTTTTTTTTTTTTTTTTTTTAACGTTGGGAAATGCATTTACGCACGACGTGTGGGACTCACCGGCGTAATACAGCCAGTACTACCCACTAAAACCCAACAAAACCTCCCCCCGTCTTAATGGGGCGTCGCAGGATCGCTTACGCATTCAACTACGACGCCCCGACGGCAGGTCTGCCAAAGCAGACCACCATAACCATGGGGTTGCTCCACAGTCCACTCTGCTATCAGAGAAGTACCAGGAGCAACCCGCATGGTACACCGCCCCCCCGAAGAGGGCCACCTCCCACCGCCCACCGAAGTGGGCACCCTCCTTGTGCGTTTATTACGAAAGCAGGAGATTAAGTCTGTCTGTAATATATTAAGAACTTAACCTTTTCCTGCACATATAATTACTGAGTGATATACACTTATCTTAAAGTAGGTACCTGTTTATATTACTATTTATAGCTTAGATTAGTATTTATATTTACCTATTAATATTCCATCTAATGCTGTACTGCACCTACACCGCACTAAATTAACTTATTTTCTCACTTCTGAAGGGTTTCTGAAAGAAATCTCTTAAAGAGATAAGTTATCCTTTGTTAACATTTTGTTACTTTATTTTTTATAACATATATTTAATGTTACATAAATAAATAAATAATAATAATATTATCTATATAATAATTATTATTTTCCGCCTGAATTCTAAAATAAATAAAAATATAAATCAAATAATTTAGGCAGCTATTAAGCCTTAATTCGTAAACAAAAAAAAATGTAAGAAGAATGGAATGGAATCTGTGCCTTCTGGGAATCGCGGGACGGCTACAAAGGCTCGCACTGGCACAATGGCCGAGTTATACAACTAATTGTTCGCGCCAGTTAATAATGCAGCAGCTCGTTTGCTTGCGTGTGTGAATACGCGCCAGTAAAGATTTGTCATGTGATTAAATGTCTTTAGATAGTAAAACCTTAATGATAGGGTGGGTATAAAATATAAATAATATTATTTAGGCACTCAAGCAAATAATTTCATAGAATAAATAATATTCATATCCAAAACAATTTTTTTTTAATTTACTTTTTGAGTTAGAATAATATAGATCTGATTTAAAATTGCACCTATCCCCTGACTAATTTTATTTATTGAAAGACATACATACGTACATATATAAATAGGCGTAGTACCAGCCATCTACCTACTAATTGAGCTGTTATTAACAATTTTGTATTCTACTAAGCGAGGAAGTCAACCACATTCTAACCGCAAACATTGAGCAAACATGCTAATTAAGGATAAATTCGTAAGAGGAAAACTTACTTTATTTAGTACGACAATCCTGGCAACCCTATCGGAGCACTAGCGCGTGGTGCGCTATATTATCCCGACTCGCCCACGTTTGTTATGCAGACTTGCCAATTAATCGCCTGTTTACATTACAGTAATGAACTGACTGATCTTTGATCGCCTCTAAGGAATGCTACCGACATTTATATCTATAAATACCTACATAATAACATTTTATATAGATTTTAATATCGATTTTGCGTAGTCAACCAATCTCATCGATTTTACAATAATAAATAAAATTATTAGTATACCTACGTACCTATTTAAAAGAATGCGCAAACTGAAAAGTTTATTATAGTTTATTTTATTGAAGTAAATCTTGTTTCAAAAATAGCTTGTCATTGAACATTAACGATAAAGTAGAGTTAAGGGTGCAACATAGTGACGTCTCCACGACGCGGTTGCTATTAATTTGTTATCATGACGATCGCGCTCCGTATCGTGCCGAGGGACCAATTCCGGGGGAGAACACTATAAACTTTATTTTAGAGGACCACATTGTGACGCTACGCTTTATGCCCGATCGAATGGTTGTTTTTATATCGAGTCGTAATCGAGAAGCTTAGTGTAACGAAATAAAAAAAAAAATAAAGATAAAGGTGGACAAACAGACGATATCGGCCATAAAATACATAGCGTCCATTGTCAAGGAGTCGTATCCCACACTTCTGTGGGCGCAACATATCTCTGCTACAGAAAAAGGACAGAAGAATTAAAAAACTGTAGGTATGGGTATATAAAAATAAATGAGACAAGAATGAGGGAGTGAAGGTTTTTGTCGCGCCTCGTTACTTCCCGTACTTGTAAACGCTACGTAAATTACGGGACGTACGAATACTTTACGAGTATTATACTCGTTGAAAAACTACCAAGTATGAATTTGCATTAAGTATGTAAGTTAAGTTAACAAGATGCATTTAGAAGTGCTATATTATTTTATATTGAATTGTATGTATCTAGCCGTAATGAAACATAAGATAGTTGTCCTAGGTTTAAACCTACTGTACAGAAACGTCTTATAAAATCTCAATATAAAGTTTTAATGTATTCAAGTGGCTTTAAGTTTATTATTCCAATAAATATTGAAATGGCATGGCATCTATTAACTCCTCATCTTGCGGTATATGTGATTGCCTTATTGTAACATAAGGGATTTTTTATAGCAGAATTGCTAGAAATAATCTTCAGTTTATAATAGTTATTAATTGTTTTATTGACATAGTTGGTGTGATGATGTAATATTAAGAATATTTACAAGTCCGTAATGTTATAAAAATATTGTTAAGCAGGATATACCTTCCTTATTAGTTACTGAATGGAATAACAGGAGATAATATTGATTAGGCACCTATTAAATTTTTATTTATTTTATTTATTTGATTTTTGAAACCATGTTTGCTTCACTACAGCATTCGAAACGTCGAAAAAAAAGGTAACTAAGACCGCAAAAATATAGTTTTGTTGTAAACACCCAGTACCTACTATAGAATGCATTTCTACCTAGATCTGACATTATTTCTATTTTCTACCTAATTAATCTTATCTAACATAAATTGGTCTATTATTTAAAAAGCTTGCTGAGAACAATAAAGCTAAGTAGGTGTACATCTGTCCTTGTTTCCCAGGTACCTATCTACTCTAAACTTTCGCCAAAGTAGATATCTGTCAAACTTGGTCCTACTCTTGGCGCTTCGGAGTGCCGACTCATCTATTCGGATGTAAGTTTACCGCGTGACTTGAAATAAAAGAAGCTGTTATCACACTAAAACCCATTTGTGTATTTGTCAATTTATTTTTATATTCCGACTCTACTCGACTCTATTTAACAATATTTACACAAATCAGACGTGTAATGGAAGTTGTGAAACAGTTATAACATTACATCGAGATCCCAAGACCCCTCGAAGCCTCTAGAAATCCCCAAATAATACGTATCTATTAGAGCGTATATCTCCGATTCGCCTAAGTATTCCTCAAACATAAAGATAGTCGACGAAAAATTCGAGTGGAGAAAATATGTATGGCAACGGCATGCGAAGGGTGGCCGAGGAGATGGGGGACCGGGGGACCGGGTCCCCCCGCTTGTCAGTTCACTTGCAGCTCTCGTGCGAGGTGGTTGTGTGTTGTTTGTTGCTATTACGAGTCGCGTGTGAATAGCGCGGATTGGCGCGCGTACTAGTGTTGATTTTGTGGCTTCAGTGGAGTGTGTGCTGTGTCCTTTTATTTTTTGTGCTTCAGACGATGACCGCGTGTGTTTGACGTGGGGATGTATCCTAGCGCGGGCGCGATGAACGCCGCCGCCGCCGCTGCTGCCGTGGCGGCCGCCAGGCATCCGGTGAGCCGCATTTACTTACATAAATCATTCTCGAGATAATCAACTTGCCCGCTATTATCATGTTGCATTGTTATAATAAACCGCTTACTGTGTGAAAGCTTAGGGGAAAGTTTGTCACTTTTAGAAGAAGAAATCATATTTAACTGTTTTCATTATTTCGACGTTAATGTTAAAAGTCTTTCCTTTAGAAAGTTTCTACATAGTTCAATAGTTTATAACGTAAACAATATAAGATTTTTTTTCTATTATGTTATAACAAAGTAGATAAAGATATATTCAAGGAAATCCAAAAGCACAAATGTTGCTCCCCCGCCGAGTTCGTTGTAGAAGCAATGTCGGACACACTCAATTACCTGTGAAATTGCTTGTAAAATTTAATACTTTAATATCACTCTTGTGTTCTTTCGATAAATAATGGTATTGTTAAGTAATTATAGTCACAATAAACCATAAACGATATGAAACATACACGTTATGTCATGCACATGTTGTTTTAAAACATTTTAAATAGCATAAATCGAAAAAGATGTAAACATGGCAGTCAATCAATAACATTTAATTTTAAAGGCGAAAATTTTTTTTCTTTTAAATAAAATAACCGACAACTCGCTTTACATCTGTCGTCCCTTCCGACGGAGATTATCTACATGCATTTTAATGACCAAAAAAAAAAACTGTTATTTACAATGTAGGTTTTACATTTGTTTTTTATCATATTATATTTTGAAAATGATTTAGATGATACCTTTATCATATAATAAAGCCCAAAGAATTGGTAGACTAACAAAACAAGGCTATCTTGATTACATATTAATGCAACGAAAAAACTTAATTGGAAATCTTAATAATATAAATTTTAAATAGAAATATAAATTAAATTACATGTTCTAGAACAGTATGTGTAGTTTATAATTTTATATATGTATTTATAAAGATCGTTTCGTAGTCATAAAACGAAATACGAATGTAGTTAAATCCTAGAAAATTTTACAGCTATTCCCTTGAATTTGTAGAGTGTTAACCGTATTACGTATGACAGAAGGCTTTTACTCTTTTACGACTCCGCTTTATGACTGGCACAGTGCGAGGGGGTTGAGGTTGTGGGGGAGAGAGGGGTGTTAATGTAAATGCCTATTTGTGTGTTTGCCCGAAATCCGTGTCGCGTCCTAGGTACTCTCGCTCGGTCAATATTTGACTGACAGAATTACCGCTACGAACAAATGATGGCGTCTCGCGTTTTCACGTCTTCACAAATAACCGCTCTTATTTACACTATTTTGTAAACGTATAATAATACGTGAACCACTCAAGAAAAACAAACCATTCAGGTCCCTAATTACCTATCTACTTAGGTATTTATTTCTTGTTTAATTTCATATTATATGCTTCTTGTAAATATACTTTAAATATAGTAGTTTAGGATATTTATTTTACATATAAATTATAAACCTGTTGGTCTAAATTTTATACATAGATACATAGGTAATTTATATAGGTATACCAACCATATAAATCTATTAATAATAGTTTTTTTAACAATCCATTTTACGTATCCCAAAATTTTACTTACCTTACCTAAGTATAACCTAAATACACAAGAATTTTTCGTATTATACCTACTTATATATTATTTTTTACATTATTTTTATTACATTGGATATCTATGAAAATATATCTTAGGATTACGTATCAGGGCTAGTGAAAAAGTGCCTTGAGTCAATGCTCTAAAATAATTCCCTACTTCAGTATGATAACGTTATCAGTTCGCACAAACATCACATTTGGAGTATGCTAACAGAGATCGTCATAATAAACATGCCGTAAATTAAATTGCTATACTCAAGTATATTTAATCTATAATTATAATGATGTACAAATAATAAGCTAATATTTTTTATTATATTTACGGTTTTTGAGTTTGTATTGATTATTATAAATAAAAATTGCTATTTGTCTTTTAAAACACGTATTCTCACATATTTTATTATTAATATTTATTTATATTTATATCGAAATACGTAAATAATTTCTATCACATCAATACTTAGGTACAATTACCTACTTATCATGAGTATTATTAACACAATTGTTGCACAATATAAGTAGATAGATAATATACTAAACAAGTTTAATAAACATTTCACATCGTTCGTGGAACGCCAAATCGGAACGACGGATTTGCATTTTCTTTTGTTAAGAATAATTTTGTAACCGAACTCGTACGAATGCTGTTCTCGGAAAGCAAAATCAGCTTTCCAAACCGTACTCTAGCTACCATATTAGTTTTACTGACAATTTTAGCCTTTGCAATGAAATTCAAAAAATCCACGGTCATATAGACTTTTAACAACACGAATAAGGTTTAAATTCCTTCAAATTTAGCGTGAGGCAATAACATTTCAAAAGCAATCTCTGCGTTTAAATATTTGTTTACGCGTGTTTGCTCTATAAGTGCGAATGGTGCTTAGTTGTTTACAGTGCTGCCGAACCTGTATACTTTTCGGAGTTATCATCTAATATTACTAATAAACACTTGACATCGATCTATTTTCCTGTTTCTCGGAATCCGGAGATGATAATGAGTTCGTGACAGAAATAACAAATACGCGTGAGGCACTGTATACATCGCGTGACTTTTTCAATCAATGGGAAATTATGCAAATTCTTTACTCAGTTCAGTATAAATAATAATTGGCGAATTATTCTTTATTACCTACATTTTTGCTTTGTAAATTGAATTGTGCAAAAAATAAATTTGAGAGCTATTTACTTGATTTGTATAAAGATTAAAGTATCGCAAGCATAGAATAATACGACGTGCCTTCAAGAATTTCAACAAACTTTTTCAATATGAGAAGCTAATTTCTTATGAAGAGAAATGTTCCAAAACAAAGGTTTCGCGTCTATTCATTATGTTCCAAACGATTTAGAAAAAAAAACCCAGTAAAATGCACTTCAACAAATTTTTAGGGATAAAATTTCGCTTGAATTCATTCAGTTCATTGGAAATTCCAACAAAAGAAGTCCTCTCGCCGAGTGAACAGGTAGACGTGGGCAGACAGACGTATTCAATAATTTGAAATAAGAACACGTAGGTATTTTCTTTTTATATCCGTTTAAACGCATTCTGTTTAGTTTTGTTTTTATGAGCGTGGATGGTGGATGCGGGCCTTTCATCCGGGCGGCCGGCCCTCCGCACAATACTGCCACTCAAAAACTGTTCATTGTATTTTAATTTGACCTTTTCGGCGATAATTTATGAGAATCTTTTTCTTGAGGGGAGCGTTTACTCAGCCTATTATTGTCAAGATTTTTTTGTGATCGATTTAAAGTTGGGACGATCAAATTTAGGGACGATTAAATATTGTAAGTGATTCGAGGGATGTATTTTTTGAGGACGCGTTTGGCTCAGTTTGTAGTGACCCTACTTATTGTACCAGCGGTCGCGGATTCGAGTCCCGCTGGCGGCATTCATTTGTGTGATGAGCACGATTGTTTGTACTCCAGTCATGGGTGTTTATATTTATAATATGTATGTATTTAAAGTTATTTATATTATGTAGTGTATCAACTAACTGGTATCCCTAACACAAGCCTCGTAGCTTACCATGGAACTAGATGGTGCTGTGTATGAATGTCCCAACATATTTATTATTGCTATAAAATAAAACTCCTACGTGAAAGTTTGTCTCATCATTTGGATTTACCTACTTTGCTGTAAATTAGGTTCAAAGTAATATACCTAATAAATACAATAGAAATGCTATTTATTATCTACAGTTAAAATATAATTTATCAAATGTTAATTACTTTAAATCGCCAATTAGTTTGATATTGTGTTTCATAAATTGATATATCGGTGATATAATTGCGGTTAACCGGTAACTTTATTTAACCTAGCTATAATAATTTAAACCATATGCCTATTTATTCTATATAATATATGGACCCAGTTATGCAAAAAACAGTCATGTGCGTAAAAGTACCAACAGAGTTATAAGCATTTTTCTGTCGATAGTTGCACTTGGGTTATATTTTGTTTTTTTGGTTATTTTAAAATTGAACAATATTTATATAAGTAGTGTTTATTTTTTATAATTATTTTATTTTTTATTATAAAATGCTTATAACTCTGTTAGTATTTTTACGCACATGGCTGTTTTTTGCATAACTGGGTCTATTTATAAAGGTTATAATAGTCTACATAGTAAAACATATAAAATTGCAAAGGCAATATGAATTAAACCAAATTCAATATAGTAATGAGTTAATGTTTAATTTAATCATCACTTTTGTTTAGTTTTTATAAAACTATTTGAATGAGTAGTTAAATTTTAATGTTAAAATTACACATTTATTTATTGATAAAACACTGTGAACGGCAATTATTTGTGTTTACAAATCACAACAAACAACAAAGTAATATGGGCTTATCTGAAAATCAATATGATAATTGATTTAACATGAGACTCACTACCTATATCTTGTCTTATAAATAATTAATATCTAAATATAAGAAAACGAAATATATCCAACTAGATAGATAAAGAAATGTCTAATATCTATACATACGTTGCATAAAATATTTATAACAAGTTTAATTAGTAAATAAAGTAGTTAAGAAATATAAAAATAAAGGTAAAGTTAATAAAACTATAATACCAAACTACGGGGAGTCGCAATGTATCATGTCGTTTGGTCGTACCGCGGCTCTAACAGCTACCGAGACAGGCATTTTACTTTTATTGTAGTCCCTCAAATCGATTATACAAAACCTATTACCGAATTTAGTATCCACCTATAATAAATATATAAATATGTTGGGACATTAATACACAGCACCATCTAGTTCCATAGTAAGCTACGAGGCTTGTGTTATGGATACCAGATAGTTGATACACTACACATATATATAACTTTAAATACATACATATTATAAATATAAACACCCATAACTAGAGTACAAAAATTCGTGCTCATCACACAAATGAATGCCCCCAGCGGGACTCGAACCCGCGACCGCTGGCACAGCCAGTAGGGTCACTACATACTGAGCCACACGTGTCGTCAAGTATAGAGATGTAATTTAATAAATATCTAAGTATGTATATGATGCTTGTGTGGGGGTTTATTATATTGTTCACACTAATAAAAATACTTTTATCACAAATATTAAGGCATAATAAAGTACGCACTTGGTATAGTTGCGGTTGCGGTGAGCATTACGTTATTGTGATCACCCAGTTCTCCCGGAGACGGCGGAGTCGCGGGTGTAGCGCGACCGCAGCCCATCTCCCGCGGTCACATTCACAAAATTCCCGGCCACATTTTTCCCGAGCTCGATTGTCCGCAGCTCCATTTACAACGTCTACACGCCGCGCCAGTTCCTTTTACGCTTTTATTTACGCTCCTTTTATTATTTTTAAAGTCCGTTTGTTCCTCGCGCGCCGGCGAGCGACGGTTATTTATTTTTTGCCGCCTGGCCTCCCGGCGACCGTGTGTTGTTGTGTCCCTCGCTTTATTTTTATTTTCCTGCTTCTTATTATGGAGTTAGCTTTTTTATTTATTTTTTTCTTTATTATTAGGTGCTTGCGTGTTCATATTTTATTTTTGTGTTAAGAGGCGAGCGGTCGACGTTGTTTTTTTCATCAATCGAGCCTCACACTGAATTATAGTCATTAAAGGATAATTTGTATTATGGTAATTTGGGATGCGTGTAATTTTTGTTTCGTGATAGAAATGTTTTCGTGCCATATAATATTAAAGGGTAATATTGATGTATGTACTTACTGTTATCATGACTTTAGTTTGACATACGTTAACTTATTGAAATACTAGCATTGCCCGCGGCTCCGCTCGCGTTCAGATGACCAAAAACCAAATTCTTAGGTTTTACATATCAGTATACTCTTACATTGCAGTTTTTGTGTTTTTTCTCAGACATTAGATATTTTCCCGCGGTAAATAAAAAGTATCCTATATGTTGACCCAGTTAACCAGCTATTACCATACCAAATTTCATCAAAATCCCTCCAGTGGTTTTTCTGTGATGCGGTAACAGACAGACAGACAAAAATTCTAAAAACTTTAGATTCGGCCTCTGTTTCGATAATAATGTTTATTTCAATAAGATTTTTCAAAAAATATTTAATGTACAGATTTGACTTAGTTACAATTATATTACTTATATATGTATAGATATACGTTTTAATGTTATGCTAAACTAATAACCTATTCATTTCTTTTAGGGTCCACCGCAACCCGGGCAACCGATCAAATTCACGGTGGGTGAATCGTGTGACCGGATCAAAGAGGAATTTAATTTTCTTCAGGCTCAATATCACAAGTGAGTACTATTTTACATAATTCATCATGAAAATTTGCTGCCAACACCTTTTTATCATTTTTTCACAAAGCAAATAATTTGTAGATAGACAAATTTTAACTATTACAGGAAACTTTGCTAAATAATTTGACTATTAAAAGGCTTTTAGTAAGTAATTTTGTTATAAGTTATATTATTACTCCTCTGGTTTATTGTTACACCGTTGTTACAGTCTCACTGTATCTGTCAAAACAAACAAAAGGTGTTACAAAAGTAGAACATTAGGCATACAACTTGAAAAAGATATAAAAGTAAATCAGCTAAAAAGGGCTCATCCGGGATTTCTCCTGTCGTTGAGTATCAGTGAATCATCCCTTATCAGCCCTTTGTGAACTAAGTAGTCCCTTTTACAAGCAGACCCTTTGTGACCCTTTAATGTTAACTTAAAAAATCCGTCTGATATTCAGGTAAAAATACGAATTTACACTTCTTTTCATATACAAAATAAAACGATAAATATCTATTAGGAGCAAAAGAATTAATGAAACATAAAAAATCTATTAGTATCAGATACTATTACAAATTGTGATGTTTTAGAATTTTAAATGAGTGTAGCATGTTCTTAAACTTCAGAGGAATTACTTAAGTGGACCAGTCGAGTATTGATAAAGTTCGTTACAAGTTTGACCTATTACTGGCGATAACGGCAATAAAACAAGCTATTTGTTATAAAACCGCTTATCGCCTTGTAGTATATATGGAGTGCTCTTTAAATATTATATAGTATGAGGGAATTTTGGTTTAATAACAGCTATTTCTATATTTTAAATACTTTATAATTCTCACGAAATGTTGACATACGTTTATTTCAGTAATTTAACAAATTAAAATATTTATTTTTGAATATATCTACCTACCTAAAAATATTTAAAAACGACTTATTAATGAAATTAAAGTTTAAATTTGTATTGTTTCAGTTTAAAATTAGAGTGTGAGAAACTGGCCAGTGAAAAAATTGAAATACAAAGGCATTATGTTATGGTAAGTAAAAACATTATAGCATTTTATTTATACGTGACCAAGTAAAGATGTATTGTTATTGATGTAGGTTTTAACGAGCTGTTAGATTATTATCGTGTAATAGGGGGTATGCACTATTCACAATCGATAAAGTTATATCTTTTGTTCGAAGTGCGACACCCGTATCGCGTATTCCAAAACCGATGCTCTCGTATACGTACAGACAGTTCATTTAATGCCCCTCTGTTACATAGAAACAATCACTGACGTAAATTATATATAGATATCGCGTACAATTTACAAGACCGTCTGTTCTCATAAATTACGCTTGTAAGTCTACTGTCTATTATTAGCCATAAGTTGACATGTTAACAACTATATGGAATTTCTCATATTAAAGCCAACAAACATATTGTGAAGTCATTAAAATTTATTATTTTATCTAAACTAATGTACCTATGTAAAGTATTTGTTTTGAAATGCTACGCTTAAAATATTTATTGTATTATTATGAATTAAAGAAAAAAATACCGAAAGAACAAAATAATATGGCTATTAAGATTCATTCCGCGCGGTGGCAAAAAATAAGTAACTGGCAACATTTTTCAGCAAACCGAATAGATATTTGGCAGTCCCTAATCCCCGCGTGGTCGTTCCCGTCTGATATGAATCACGATTAAGTGTTGCCAAATCGCTTGCAATTTATTTTAATACGCTCTAGAGGAAATTTTCGCGAGCGTTTTTATGTGTCGGAAACACTTCTGGCGGCGGTCCAGAATGTGATATTGCGGATGTTTAGTCACTCTCTCAAATGATTCGAGGAAGCTGATCCCTGCCAGAAGCTTTGTGTGTCACATAAACATTGTTTCAAGTCTCAAATGTAATAATTCTACTTAATTTGTATTATCTGTTTCAGTATTACGAAATGTCGTACGGACTCAATGTGGAAATGCACAAACAGGTATGTAACATCACGTTGTTGACATTTTATTATGCATGACATAACTATAAAAAAAATACTCTAACTAAAACTTCCGTTTTATTTCTCTATTACACTACGTATGATAAACAAAAATATTTCTACATTTCGATATTATACCGGCATTTAAGTAAAATTGTATGATGAAGGTGAAAAATAGCGATATTTTATTAGCAACGTAGCAAAGTGGCGCACTGGGAAAATGAATGTTGTAAAATTGAAAAAAAAAGGTGTTATTGCTGCGCCCGCTTGTTGGATAAACGTTGTTTGACAGCTACCCACAGCGTGGGGGGCCCGTGAGGCGCTGGGGAGGCTGGAGCTCGGGGCAGTTTGGCAAAGTATGGTCAAGCCGTTTTGTTTACATTTCGCTTTTGAATTTATAGCCTTCTTTGTTTACGTGGCGTTAAAGATTTGTGATTCTATCTACTCATAAATATAAGTATGTCAACATAAAAGGCAAGTTGATAAGTTTATAATGATTAACAAACCCTAAAATTAAACAATTAAGTGTTACCATACATTATCATGAAACAAAGTGAGGGGAGCAAACGACCTTATTTATGCTTCTCTTTATTTGTGAGGCTAAAAACAATTTTAGATATAATCTTAATTAAATTAAAGCATACAATTAACGTAGCTATATATATTCTTTTTATAGTTATTATGTTTGTCGAAAAATATTTCTCAACAAATTCATACTTGTCATTTCTAAAATATTTGTGCTCAAATTTTTATTATTAACAAAAAAGCTTTAAAATTCAACCCTTGACCAAAATTGAAACTTCAATTTATGAATTTATTTCTTCAATAGTGCACTCGACAACCCTAACCGCAGGGCATCAATGGTAACGAATAGTTATTACTTATATGCTGCAGGGGTTCTTGCGCAAGGGGCGGCCTATGGGGGGTTCTCTAGTAATCTGTTGATTTTATTCTCACAACACGCCAGATTCTACTGTCAGTTGCCATACTCAATACCCTATTTTTATGAATAATGATTCAACAATAACTTGTCCTTAAAGCGGGAAGAAATTATTTGAGTTGATTTTTTTTTTGTGAAACGGTTTAGTGTAGGAAGTTTTCTGCATTTGCACCTTGAGACCATTATAATTAAATCATTAAAGAGTTAACTTGGCTGTCTGTATATTGCTTTACTTAATAGTTAATATAATAAAGATTGTATATTTTTGTAAATAATTTGAAGTTCAGAAATTACAAAACTTATGTTTGTTTAGGGTCTGGCAAAGTAGAAAGGAGGGTGGGTGATTTAGAAGGGCCACGTTGTTTGTGCTGCGGCGGACAGATGGCTCGCTGCTTCAATGCTTGAATGCGCTATTTAGTGAACGCTGTGCTGTGGAATACAGTGCAATGGTTTATTGTAATGAATTATTACATTAGCACTTAACATGCTTAGTTGAGCGGGAACCGAGAACTAAACCTATTTATATTTTGTATGGATTCAAATAATATTACAGTGTTAGGAGTTAGAACAACAGACGGTTGTTCTCTAGTTTTTATTCCACGTCATGCTCGTTTTTATTCACTTTGTTGCGTGTCAGTTTAACACTCAATAAATAGAGATTGAGCTCTAAAAATATACATTTCATTCACTCAAATGCGGTTCATAATACCGTACTTACTTGATATTTCATTACATAGATGACTGTTCAAGGTTGTTAAATTTGTTCGGTGAAGTGTTAATAAAAGAAATATAAGAAGAGTTAATAAGGTTGAATTTGTCGCGATTGAATAGATTGCGTCGTGACCACATCGTGTCGGTCGGCGTGACCGCGTCTAAAACGCGTTTTCCGCTCTTTCTGGCGACGACTAATTGCTTAGATTTTCTTTTGTTAGTCGCGGGGCCGGACCGCAGTTAAACCGTGCCGAATTACACCTACTTACGTCGTGAATTGATTGTTTCGTCTTTGTGTGGCTGTATCGACACGGAGTCTTATTGTTCTGTTCCTCTACCCATTATATACGCCTGAACCGGCTTTACGTTCTCGATTATTTTAATGATTTCCGTATATGTATATCTTATCAGCAGGTCTTACAACTTGTATTTATATTTTTACTTGTTTAACTGTTACTTAAAAACAATTTGTAATTGTTACAATTTATACACACCTCGTCATATAACTTCATAATGTGTGTGTGTGTGTGTTATCAGTAGTAATAATAAATTTATTTAGACAAATTTTAAATTTTTAATATAGAAAATAGATAAAGCTATATTATATCAATGATGATTATCTAAACTCAATTCATTTACAGTCTACTACAAATTATTATGTGTCGAGTTGATAAAGCGCTTTGAATAGGAGTCAATAGTTGAAGAGCAATAAATTCATAACGCTGGAGTGATTTCATGAAGTGTCACAAGTGTCGACAGCGAGACAATAGGGTTGTGCCGAACGCAAGCTTCTCTACGCTTCATAGGACATCGATAAAATACTTTGTCGTGTTTACGAGCTTTTACACCCTACACTACATGCTCCAGTGCTTACTTTCTTTCATTCCTGGTAAATTGGTTCAGAAGAAGCTCATAAAACAAATGTTATTTCTACCATTATTAAATTTACTAACATGTAGGTAGATACATATAACAAGTTTTCATGCATACAATATTATATTATGTATTGTGGTGCCGTATATTGTGAAGAGAATATAAATAAATAATTAATACTTTCTTAGATTTACGCGAATGTTTGACATTATCAAATAAAACTATCTTTTCGGATTATTTCGCGGATTTATTTTGATTTTTGGTTCCCGACGTTTCGAATGCTTTACAGCATCCATGGTCACGGGAGAGACTGAGGTGTTACATGTCTTAAAGATATAGTTGTTACAGACAGCCTACCCACAATTAACAAAATGAAAATTGCACCAATTACATTACAATATTTTTAACTTTAAACATTTTTTATAATTTTAATTATAATTGAATATGGAAAATTATTTATTTAATTTTTGCTATTATTTTTATAATTATTACAATTTTAAAAATATTAATTAGTAATCTATATTTAGTGTTGCCATTATTATATTTATAACCATAAATAAAAATATAAAAATATAGTATTAATTATTAAAGCCATATGATTGTTCTATGTGTAATTTAAAAAGTTAAAATTAATTACGGATAATCATTTTAATTTAGTTTGCTATTATTTAAAAACAACTTACTAAGCAACACTATTAATATATACTTTTACAAATGAAAAATATTAAACGAAACGTCGGGAACCAAAAATCAAAATAAATCCGCGAAATAATCCGAAAAGATAGTTTTATTTGATAATAAATAATTAAATAAAATATTTTTAAAAGTAAACTTGCAATTTTTATCGAAATCTATGATAATCGTAATTCGCAAATAAAAATATTAAAAGTCCATGTCTGTATAATTTAGTAATTTACGCATTATAACAATTCCTCTCTGGTGTTCTCTCACCCTTGTTGCGAAATTATTCATATGCGGGGCGGAGGATTGTTTACCCTTGCATTAGGGTCGTCCGCCGCGCGTCGGCTCTCGTTGATAAAAACATTGCACGTGCCCGATCCGCTTAGCTACTATTTATAATGAAACAACAGGGGACGGGCAACCCGTTTCGCTCGAGATGTCCCTAATCCTGTTTGTTTTACAATACTGTTGCAGCATGCACCTATTAACTTTTATTCACTCAGCTTATAATCCTTTGTTTAATCAAATGTGAAAATGGCTGTTATTATTTTATATTTTAACGAACATAGATTTAATTATTATTTGTCTATTTAATCTCTTAATAACATATCAAATCCAATTTACTCAATAAAAAGTTTAAGAATTATTATTTACTAGCGACTCACCCTTGCTACACTCGGGTTCGTCACTAGGGACGTTTTAACTGTTAGTATGGAATAGATAGACTATTTTTTTTATTAAATATGTATTACATAGGTAATAGGTATGATGAGTTGTTGTGGGTTGAATTATTACGTGTTTTCCTGTGGGAATGAGACTATATCCCGTAGTAAAAAGTAGCCTATGTCACTCCAACTAATTCTCTACACAAAAATTATGCCAATCCGTCCGTTGTTTTGACGTGAAAGAATAATAAACATACAAACTAATACACTTTCACATTTATAATATTAAAAATATGGATATTATGTTTCTACGAAACATTGTTATATAACAAGTTTGGTCTGAATCCTCGCACACTTTCTAAAATCATCTTTAATCATATATACTTATTATTGTAGTATTTTTTTTTATAAAGGAAATGCATTGAAATTACAAATAGGTATTACAAAATAAATGTACGTTTAATTATTTCTGCGTGGAATTATGGCAAGAATGTTAGCTGCATGGCAATGCCATTTCTTTCGGCATTTCTTTCGGCAATAAACGAGGTAGCTCTCTTTTCATCAGTAGAGACGATAAGACGAGGTATTGTCTTTTAACAAGTGTTTAGCAATACGTATGTACATGCATACATAATTTACACTAAAATAACATGTAGTGTATCCGACTGTATCATATTAAATTATAGATGTTTAGTGTTCACATAAACATAATACCTTGTGTCGTTAAGGGTCCCGTACTAAAATAATGGACGCGCTATCTCGCTATATCTACAAGCGGATACCGCGTTGTGAATTGTCTAAATGAACGCAACAACTCACAATGAACGCTCCGTCGCCCCTCACTGTAAAAGCGAAATTATCTCTCCATCTACAGAGTGCGTCGCGCCGAGCGGCAGATGGCGTTTGCAATAAAACCACTAAACGCGATATCGTTCGCTCGGCGCTCGCTGCCCCTTCGCTTTATTATTTGATAGGGGAGTCAAATTAAAGGATTTACCGTAACCCCTCGTCTGCGACCCTATTCCGACAACAATCACCTCTGTATTAAGTCTAATTGTGTTTTCAAATTCGGACCCTATAATGACATCAGGGATACTATGTTCGCCATGTGAAAAAATAGGGCGTATCCA